CGAATGGGTTTCGGGCTAGATGAAAGAAATATTGTAAACATTATGTTGAGAGGAGAGAAAAAATGGAGAGAAGTATACTGTCTGATTTCTGGGGTGATGAAGAAAAAGGAACAGGAGGACAGAAGAGGAAATTAAGCCAAGGATCTAAAAATTTATAGTTAATATTGTTTATTACTTTATGGTCTAACATCTAAACATTTTCTGATTTACGGTAATAGGTATGGTTATATATATATATAAATTTTTAGTTGTTTATTGAGTGACAAGACCACCTCTCTGAAAACGGTGTCTTCTGGCTTAGTATCCCACTCGTCCGAAAGATACCAGGGTGTCTTGTTCCATGACGTAGAGGTCCAAAAAAGATTTCCCCCACCGTTGCCTGTCAGAATCCAATGGATACCTTCTTAGGCTCTTACTGGAATCTGGCAATACGGCAATTAAAAAAGAATACAAATACAAAGTGTATACAAAAATTAACAAGTACTCTGTTGGCTGTATAGTGACAAATTATTTGTTCAAATACAGTAAATTTTAAGTAAAAAAATAAATATAAATATTCTTTATGAATGTTTTTTTATAATATATATTTTTTTATATTAATAATTTTTGGTTGGGTATTCTTGAAACTTTTATGAACCAGATTTATGAGACTTTTCGACAATCCTACATTAATTGCATTGGTATACCATGGCTTTATTATTTTGATAGTGAAAATGTTTTTAGGAATCTCTGTTATAAAAATTAATAATTTTTACATAGTTGCCTTTTAATAAGGACAACTTTAGAAATATCGTGGCATATATATATATATATATATATATATATATATATATATATATATATATATATATATATATATATTTATATATATATATATATATATATATATAAATATATATATATATATATATATATATATATATATATATATATAAATATATATATATATATATATATATATATATATATATATATATATATATATATATATATAGTACGCATTCTTCCTCGCAATATGCTTCTATACAGCCTTCAATCCCAAGTGATTATTGGTTCAAAAATTATTCTGTTCCACGAAGGTATATAACATCCATAATTAGAATAAAATTTGGACACGCCTGTTATCCTAGTCATCTGTCCAAACTAAAAATCGTAAATTCAAATTTATGTCCAGACTGTCAAAAAGAAGGGGATCTAAATCACATTTTCTTCGAATGTAAAAAATACACAAAACAAACTGAAGATCTAATAAAAAATTTAGTTACCATCAAAATTTTTCCTCCGTACAATATGTGCTATCTGCTATCTCTAAATATAAGAGTTGTAAATGAATGTTTGATGGAATTTATTTGCGAAAGTAAGCTCAATATTTAACTGTAATTAGAATCCTAACCTCTGTTTTACCCCATTTGTTATTACCTTTTATCCGTGACCTAATCTAGTTTGTCTTAAAAGCAATGTCTTGATGGGTCCCTAGACGAGAAACGAGTGTCCATGTTTTATCCCTATCTTATCCTTAATAATAATTTTAATGCTTAAAATTTGTAAGGATACTTAAGTTTGAATTTTATATTATCTTTTTATATTGTACTACTCAATTTTTTTTTCTGGGTAGAATATTTTCATGTTGTGACTGGCTGTATGGCACTTGCCTATGCCATTAAAAAAAAAACTTTAGAATTCTTGAGTAGATGTACACCATTTGGCATACCATATACTGGGTTATTTTGATAGTGAAAATGTTTTTAAGAATCTCTGTTTTAAAAATAAATAATGTTTGCATAGTTGTCTTTAGAAATCCTGAATATGTACACCATTGGCGTACCATATACTGGGTGTTTTTGATACCTAATTGAATTGAGATTTTTTACTACTTTTGCAAATTAGGGACAGGTGTATGCAAATTAGGGACAGGTATATGTAAATTAGCGGCAGGTGCTAATTAGGGACCGGTACAAATTAGGGACAGGTGTATGCAAATTAGGGACAGGTGCTCCTCCTCCGCCCGAGATCCGCTATATACACCCTACTATCAGGTGTTGGTTATGAATTTAATATTTTTGCTGGTGAATAAAAGCAATACTTTTCCAAATGGAGCGCCTGATTTAGGAGTCAGTGGAAATGTCACTAGACTGATAGAGACAGTGCCGACGCACGTTAATCATAAAATATTTTTCGATAACTGGTTTAATAGTCCAAAATTACAGATTTATCTTACAAAAAATGGATTGTTGCCTTTAGGTACGGTTCGATTAAACAGTGTTCCAAATTCAGGAATCTCATCCAAAAAAGAACTACAGACAATGTAGAAAAAGTTGCCCTTATTGAAGACGTAAACATAAGTCTAATAACTTAGTTCGATAATAAGCCAGTAAACATGTTATCAACTTACGTTGGTAGTGAATCTAGAACCACAAAACGTAGGTACGTTGAAAAAGAAAAAACGTACAAAGAGATTTCATGCCCTCAAGCTGGTGAAGTTTATAATCAGCTGATGGAGGAGTGTACTTATTAGACTCGATGCTGGGGTTTTACAGAATCCATCTAAGATCAAGGAAATAGTATAAACTTTTTTTTTCATATGTTGGATCTATGTGTTGTGAACGTATGAATACTCTGGCATAGAAAAAATTAACAAATTTGCTATATGCCATTATTTGACTTTGAAAAAACCGTTTCTCAACATTTATGTAAATCTGAGAAGTCACTACCAAAAAAGAGAGGTCTTCCAGTAGGACAAAATTGAACTCCGTCTAGTTATCAACCAACTCCAACGTCTAGTCGTCAAGGAATTCCACCTGTTTTAACCAATGGAACAACCCCAACAGCAACAAAAAGAACAAGGAAAACTCCTGCAAGACATCAGGAGATACCGTTAAATTCTGTGCGTACGGACAACAATGGACACATGCCAGAATGGCAAAATCATCGCCAACAGTGTCAAATATGTACAAAAAAAACACCAATTGTATAAAGTGTAAAGTAATTTTATATTATAATGAAAAAAGGAGTTGTCTATCACAATTTCATAACTAATGTATTTTTGTATGTCAAAATTTTATGTTCGTATTTTTTTAAGCCCTTTCTTCTATTCGGATTACCGAATATAGGCCTCTGCTAATTCTCGCCATTCATCTCTCTTGTTTGTAACACGTTTCCACATTGGCCCAGCAGTTCTTTTAATATCGTCGCTTCATCGCATTTAGGTCTTCCTAGTGGTATTTTGGCTTCATATCGCCACCAATTCCCGATTTATTTATTCCATCGGCCATCCGTAAGACGTTCGTTATGTCCAGCCCATTTCCATTTCAGTTTAGCTGCCTGTTCTACAGCATCTTTCACTTTTGTTCTATTACGAATGTCTTCATTGGTTTTATGGTCTTTGAGTGAGATACCCAGCATCTGTCGTTCCATATCTCTCTGAGTTTTTCTGATCTTCTCCACGTTTATTTTAGTGAATGTCCAGGTTTGAGCTCCATATGTAAGCACAGGTAGGATACAGGAATTAAACACTTTGATTCGCAGTCTTTGAGGTATATTTTTATTTTTAAGTACGTATCAGAGTCTTCCGAATGCTGCCCATCCCATTTTTACACGTCTGCTTATTTCGATAGTCTGATTTTCTTTGCTTACCTTGACATTTTGACCTAAATATTTATATTCATCTACGTGTTCTATCTCTATCCCTTCGATGTTTACCATAGGTTTGTAATCTTTGTTTAACATTAGTTTAATTTTGTTGAAATTCATTTTCAGTCCTTTTTTAGGGATTCTGTGTGTAGCTCCTTAATCATCGTATTCAGTGCATTCCACGTGTCGGCTATTAGTACTACATCATCTGCGTATCTAAGATGGTTCGAGTATCTTCCGTTAATAGGGATTCCCTTATTTTCAAAGTCTATTGACTTAAAGATATCTTCTAGGGCAGCTGTGGTGTCTCCCTTTTTGTGTATTAGTATTGTTTTAGCAGTATTCCATTGTTCGGGTATGCTGCCTTGGAATAGACACTTATTAAATAATACTTTTAGATATGTGATGGCGTCTTCTCCGCCTTCCTTCAGCATTTCTGCTAGAATTCCATCGCTTCCAGGAGCTTTATTTCTTTTTATTTCTTTTACCGCTCTTTCTATTTCCTGGTGGCTTATTTCGGGCATCACTTCTGAGTTGACATTTGTTATCTGCCTCTTCAAGTTCTTCTTTGAGGAGTTAGAGAGAGTTAGAGCTTTTCAATTAATTTTGCAATATTAGATTGACTTTTTTTAGTTGTCCTTGTTCATTTTTAATGGTTATTATGTTTTTCTTTCCTAGTTATGGTTTGGTGTATTTGAGACTTCGGTTTTTTTCTATGATTTGTTGTATACGGTCTTCTTGATGTTTTTTAATGCTCTCTTTTATCTGTTTTCTTATTACTCGATTAAGTTCCTTAAATTTTGTAGTGTCTCAGAAACTCTTTTTTTTGTTTCAGCATATACTTTGATTCTACACTTATTTTGGTTTAATAGTTCTTTTGTTATGACTTCATTGATTTCATTTAAGCTAAGTTTATGCAGATTTAATACTTTAGCGAGATTTAACTTGCTTTTATATTGTTCTGTATTAGATTTTAGTTTATCTGTGTCTATATTATAAGTTTTTCTAAATTTATTTCTATTTGTATTATGTTTTATCTCTAATTTGGCTCTAACCATTCGGTGATCGCTACTTACTGACGCCGTATTTATTACTGTTACGACATGTATGATCTGCTTTGTTACATAGTATGTAATCTATATTCGTATAATGCATGCGAAACCACATATGGATTTTCAAAAAATCTTCCAGTTTGTAGTTATTGCATAAGAAACCATATGTGGGTTTACAAAAAACTTCTATATATATGACTAAACAGTTATTTTAAATGCTAGGACTAATGAAATAAAAAAAAATATTTCATGTTTGCAATAATTTATGCAGTAGAGGGTTAATAGAATTTGTTTTATTAAAAATAAGAAAATACTTACTTCATCACGAACTGTAAATACAATCACATTATCAAAAAGGAAAACTAGGCCCTGTGCTTCGATGGGTTCCATAATATAAAAAGTTGACTTCATTTTAAACATTCCATAATCATGTTTTTTGAGGCCACTATATTTTATTGATTGTATTTGTTCATTTGTATAAGTTTTTATTTGGTGTTTTACATCAGAATCTTTTAATTTCTGTAACAATAAATATGTATACAGAGTGGCCCAAAAGTCTGGAAACGGCCAATTATCTCGTAAATTGCTAATTATAATTGTACAAAATTTGAGGTACACCTATTTTGGGATACGGAGATTCCATATTTGATATTTGCAATGTTGCCAGATTTGCCGTTTCTCTGATATTATTAGTAACTTTGGTTTTTCAAATGCATCACCCTGTATATTCAGTCATTATTAGAATCTTCTATTCAATACGAGTTCAACTATATGTAACACTTATGATTGTTTATAGTCTGGAAGGTCTTAAATACATAAAACAGAAGTCTGCCAACGCCTAATTGTTTCAATAAATTTTTTGATACTAATTATTTTCAACTACATTAAAACGTAACAATTGATAGATTAGACCATTTTTTAACAATAGTTACGTTATTAAGTGTTCAAAATGTGCTCAATTTGTGAGTTGACAGTACCCTAATCGATGGTAGAATGCGTCTACCACATTTCTCCATGATTGTCTAGAAATTATTTGAGATTAATCGATAATTCGTTGCCTTTGCTCTGCATGACTTGGCTGGTTAAGTTTTGTAAACTGAATTTTTCAAGTATCCCTAATAAAAATAATCTTTAGGATTGAAATCGGGTGAACGTGGAGGCCATTCAATTCTACCTTGTCTACCAATTTATCGTACGGAAAATATCTCATCTAAATAACGCCGAACATTTACACCAACTATCTGACGTTAAATTTCCTTCGATAAAAAATTACCCAATTGACTAAGTACCTACTATACCTGATCATACATTTAATTTTTGTGGTCTGGTATGGTTTTCACGCATTCAGTGTGAATTTCATACGAGTTCAAGTATTCAATACGAGTTCAAAAATATGTAACACTTATGATTGTATGTAGTCTGGTATCACCTCGGGGAAAATGGAAAGGGTCTATATCACCTTCTGTAAGACCGTGTGCTCTGTAGAGCACACCGGCATCTCCGGTACCTGCAAGTCCATCCTCGATCGCTGTGCCAACTCCTTAGACGGGTTCGTCTTCTTCTCGGTCGTCCGGATCCCATCTGCTATATCCAGGGGTTTCGCAGAGCACCAGGGTGCCTACGTGGTCGTCCAACCACTTTCGGTAGGGGGAGGGCGATGACTGGGTCTACTTCTGGACTTCCATTGGCATCAGGGGCTTCTGACTTCGAAGAAGTCTGGCTCGTCAAAGGTGCAGAAGGCCCGTCGAAGGCATCCGGTTTGCAGAAGGCCTCGATGTCGGAGTGTTAGAGTATAGAGAACACTCTGTGGTTCTCCCCATTCTTCTCTTGACTTCAACCCATGTTGAAGTCAATAGTATGCTGCCTTCTGCTGTGCGTCGAGAAGGGTCGTGGGAGTGGAATAATCCACGTTGTTGGGCGCCATGTCACCGCAGGGGACGCGATAAAAAGTTTTAACGTCAATCATCTGCCTCTGGGTACTCTGTAGAGGGCTTCGAGAATGTCTACGAAAGCACCTCTACCCAAGTCCACTTTCAGGTTATGGACTTGTGAAAGTTGTCTTCTGATGGACCCGTCTTGAAAAAGACGGGTTATTTCTTACATGACGAAAATATTCGACGAAATAAACCATGAGGTTTTAAATAAATAGTCGAAATAAAACACCAAGTTAAAAGTTGAAATAAATACTCAGCCACAGAGTATGGAAAGCTAAAAAGGAAGCAGAGCCCCGAGAGCATAAGCTCTCGGAGAGCCCGTGAAGGACTGACTTATTGACCTGAAAATCGCCTATTTTTATACTTTCTGAAGTAGCGATTAGGGATTTCCAGGTCAGGGAGGGGCCAACGGGAAAAATAAGGGGCGGGGCGATGCGTCTCGAACGTGAACTAGTCGCGTCCGAGAACACTGGAAGGTCTTAAATACATAAAACAGTGCAAAATATGTAGATTTTAATAAACTTAAATATTTAAATGTAGAATGGCTGTGATATTGACATTTGTTCACGATTTACATTATAAACTAAAACTGACAGTAGTTGTGTTTCGAAAAGTTCTACAATTTAAATTGCTTCTCTAAAATGCCGTTCTCTAAACCGTTCTCCTATTCATAAGGCGACGGTACAAAGAACTGTAAAGCGATTTGAGAAATCCGAAGAAGGGAAAGACAGATGGAAAGAGAAAAGTTTTGTTGAAGATCCACATACATCCTCAGGCAGGGTTGCGCAAGTACATGATGTAGGTCGTTCTTCAGTCTTACGTATATTACGTAAAAATAAGTTTAAAACCATACAAAATAAACTTATTGCAAGAATTAAGTGAAGATGACTTCGATCTTAGATTAGAGTTTACTGATGTAATGATGGATAAAATTAAAAATTATTAAAATTTCGTTAACAGAATATGTTTTCCAATAAAGCAATCTTTACACTGTGTGGTAGTGTAAATCGACACAATTTAAGGTACTGGAGTGACGCAAATTCACACTGAATGCTTGAAAACCATACTCAAAGACCACAAAACTTAAATGTATCGTCAGGTATAGTAGGTACTGAGTCAATTGGGTATTTTTTATCGAAACAAATTTAACGTCAGATCATCATCACAGTCATTAACATCTTAGTAGATGTGTTGTGGTTCATAATTGGGCTTCAGCAGCTCGGACAGTTTGATTGATAATATTTCTCCACTGGTCGCGGTCATCAGTTATATGTATTCCTCAGTATACTGTTTATTGAGAAGCTTTTTAGTAATGTCCGCCCATCGCTGTGGAGATCTTCCGCGTTGGCGTTGAGTCTGAGGCCTTCCTTGGACCACCAGCCGCTCCATTTTGTGATCACTTCGATGGATATGGCCAAAGAACTTTAAAATTCTAGAGTAAACGGTACTAGAGAGACGCTGATCCGGTTTAATTTCATCCAGAACCGAGATATTTGTACGGCGAGCCGTCCATGGAATTCGAAGCAGGCGTCTCCATGTCCACATTTCAAAGGCGTCTATACGTCGTCGATCTGATTCTTTGAGTGTCCATGTCTCGCATGCATAGTAAAATATGGAAAAGACCAGAGTTGAAACGAGTCTCTTTTTGTTTGTCATAGTAATGTGATGATCACGCCAGACCCCGTTTAGTTCACTCATTGCTGCTCACGTCAGATAGTTGGTGTAAATGTTCGGCGTTATTTAGATGAGATATTCCCCGGACGATAAATTGGTAGACAAGGTAAAAGCGAATGGCCTTCACGTTCACCCGATTTCAATCATAAAGATTATTTTTATTAGGATACTTGAAAAATTCAGTTTACAAAACTTAACCAGCAAGTCTTGCAGAGCTAAGGCAACGAATTATCGATGAATCTCGAATTGTTTCTAGACCATCATGGAGAAATGTGATAGACGCATTCTACTATCGATTAGGGTACTGTCAACTCATACATTGAGCACATTTTGAACACTTAATAACGTAACTATTGTTAAAAAATGTTGTAATCTATCAATTGTTAAGTCTTAATGTAGTTGAAAATAATTAGTATTAAAAATTTATTGAAACAATTGGGCGTTGCCAGACTTGTGTTTTATGTATTTAAGACCTTTCAGACTACATTTTTTTTTTTTTTTTTTTTTTTATTATAACTAATAAATTAACAATCAGAATAAAACAATATATTCTATAAGTTAATGTGATGAGTTTAAGTCCTGTCCCTTGGTTCTGGCGTGATGTGGTCCCCTCCAGTGAGAGAATCACGGGTCCATGTTACTGGTCTGTTGGCCAACGTCGCTTTAGTCTTCGGATAACTTGATGTTGAGGTATTGCGGAAATTAATGGGTTGGAGTGTGTGTTCACTTTTTGAATGTATTGTAATTTCTTTTGCTGGTATACTTCTTTCACTGTTGAGATATTGAGATCCTCATAGATTCGTTGGTTGGTTACGTACCAGGGTGCATCAACAATTGCTCTTAAGATTTTTGATTGACATCTTTCCATAATAGCAATATTAGATTTACTACTACAGCCCCACAGCTCTATGCCATATGTCCATATTGGTTTAATAACTGTTTTATAAATTAGAATTTTATTATTTATTGACAGTTTGGAGTTTTTTCCAATTAACCAATTGATTTCTTTTTGTCTTAGTTGTATTTGTTTTCTTTTTTTGGTGATGTGTTCTTTCCAACACAGGGTTTGGTCCAGGTGTAGCCCTAGGTATTTGGTTGTTTTAGTCCTGGGTATTTCCTCATTGTTGATATATATTGGTGGTGGTGTTTCTCGTCGTAAAGTGAAAGTTACGTGGGTTGACTTGTTTTCATTAATTTTTATTTTCCATTGTTTTAGCCAGTTTTCAAGCTCATACAAATAATCTTGGAGTTGTTGTGTAGCTATGTTAATGTGTTTGTGACTGGTAAGTGCTACTGTGTCATCTGCAAATGTGCCAATTGTTACGTTATGCGAAGTTGGTAGATCAGAAGTATATAATATATATAATAAAGGTCCCAGGACACTGCCCTGTGGAATTCCCGCCTTAATGGGATGCATTTTAGATATTTCTCCATTTACTTTTGTTCTAAACTGTCGGTTTTCCAAGTATGATGTAAGTATTCGAAAGAAGGGTGGTAATATTTGTTTAATTTTATAAAGAAGTCCTTTATGCCAAACCTTATCAAAAGCTTGACGTACATCTAGTGATACCATTGGGCAATATTCCTTTTCTTCTAATGCGGAATTGATTTTATGGGTTATTCGGTGGCATTGCTGGATAGTTGAGTGTTCTCGTCGAAATCCAAACTGAAAATTTGGTATCCAGTCTGCGCCTGTAAGGCCTGGATCTATTCTTTTTATTAAAAGTTTTTCTAGTAATTTGGAGATTGTTGATAACAGACTGATAGGTCGATAGGATGAGACTTCACTTGGATCCTTTCCTGGTTTTGGAAATAAAAGTATTTCTGCAATTTTTAGATTGTTAGGCCAATAATTACATCTTAATATTGCGTTAAATATATATGTAAGGATCACTATACCCTTTTTTGGTA